AATCGCTCTGTGCATTTCTTCATGCCTCGTCTCCACGTCATCTGCTGGCCTCCACGTGGCTTTCTCCAGCCTACAACAACCACAAATAAGGCGCGCTGCGGTAGGCGACCGTCGGACATACGCAACACGTGTCCTAACCAACGAAGCTTATTGAGCTGGACTCGATGCGATAGCGTGTTCTTGTTCGATGCATTCCCAAACACCCGACGACTTCTAAGTTACTAACCCACTCACTCCATCCCACTTGGGCCAGATTAAGTAGGCATCGATTGTCGAACACTGCTAAACGACCGATGTCTTCTACCCGCAAGTTCAAGGTTCCAACCGTGCAGCAGAACTGATCGTATAGTGACGCAGTATACGCGACTTTTCAACTTCAGTGAAACGTCACGTCGCCGCCACAGGTGTTTAAATCTCGCGTACGCTGCTCGAGCCTTGGAAATGCGGGCGGTTATCTCCTTTGATGCGCTACCGTTGTTGGTCACGCAGCTACCTAAGTACGAGAAGCAGTCAACTACAGCTAATTCCTGACTATCTAGTTTCAGAACGGAACTCGGCGACACTCAGTCTTGTAGCATCACTTTACGCTTTGAAGGTGCAAAGCACATACCGAACGGAGCGGCAGAGCTTGTTAATCTGTCAAGTGCTCTTTGCGCATACTCCATAGATTCGAACAGTGTGCATTTAGCTGCTTTGACATGTTGCGTGTTAGTGCTCATTCCATTCATTTCAGTGTAAGTTACTTGCCAATGGAACCGCTGTATACACCTGACGTTGAATTGTTTAATAATGGCAAGTGAAGGAGAGCATCGAATCCGTTATTAGTTTAACCGAAAACCGGTAAAGGTGTGATCGAAGTTTTGATTCATGTTTTGAAGCTCATTCATTTTTAATGCATTCTATAGATTCGTCATAATTAAGTAAACATTACTACGTAATTCAATGCCACATTAGTTTTCACCTGAAGCTACCAATCATGATTAGTTATTTTCTAAAATTCGCAAAAGAGACAACTACTGTTCACAACCAGAGTTCTCGACTTTATATTTATCTAATGGCATTTTGGAGGATGTGCTCCATAATTATGTCTAGGTAAAAGAGTGGGCCTTAGAATTCACAGGGTCTTAAATTAATAATTCACTCGTTCGGCGGATGTTTGCTTCGGTGGGAAAACACCGCTCGTGAGGACAGTAAGCAGGACATGGTCGGTAGAGGCTATTTGATATAGGAGCATTTGTGGAGGTGTAAGGAAAGGGTCACACTTCGCGACACTCGTCCTGTCCCGCACTACGCTCAGGCCTTCGATTAAGCGTTCAACTTATCTTTGCTCGTTTTTGTTACAGTAGTTTGTCGTGGAACACCACTGGTCGCCCAACAATTAGCACTTGTGGTGATGGCGTAGTGGTTTAGTTTCTATTACGGGCGTGCTTTAGACCCTATGGTTCAAGGGTTCGAGCCCCGCTACCACCACCCAACTTTAGTGGTAGGCAGCCGTCGTCCGGTGCAATATCATGCTTAACCTAACATGGCCTTATGTGGTAAACCACTCCACGTCCCGGAGTTAAGCTTGCCGGTTTACATCGCTGAACATCAGGGCCTTTTTTCTTTCCTTTTCATTTTTACTTCCTTTTATTGAATGCACAATGATACAATTTTCAGGAAGGAGGAAGCGGTCAATCAAAGGGCGGTCAAACAACACATAAATGGGGAGTCAGGCGGTGGTGGTCGGATTCGAGCACACGTCCTCCGGGGTGATAATTTGGTGACGTTACCACCTCGTGACTATGGGGCTTTCCCCGTTTGCTGTTCATCACAATAATGTGTGTTATAAAAAGGTTTCTCCGGCCCGAAACACAAACTTGGCACTGCGTTTTCATTGTGTAGTGTTATAGCAGCATGCACAAGAAACCAGAACGAGAAAGGCCCAAACGTTAGGCTTTATTCGACATACAGCGTACGTATGAAAGCTGAAAAAGGGAGAGGAAATAGGAGTCAGAAAAGCGATATACAAAGTATTATATCACCTTGTCTGTACGCGCATCTAAAAATAAGTAAAACAAAATGCATTCACGTCGTTCACATTGTATGCTGTAGCTTACAGCTTAGTGATTGGTCAGTACTTTTTCTTGATTTCTCCATCTGGTTACATATTTCGGACCGGGTTGATTTCTACAAGAATTTTCCACCTCTTTTCAGTTTGCTTGATTTATGCGCGTATTTGCGTCCCTCATGCGTCGCTTTGGTGAGCTTCAACAACAGGTGGAATCACTGGCTAATCTTTCACGAGAGGTGCGTTTCGGAACGTATGCAGAATTTTCAAACATTGTAGGACTTGTTGCAAAGAGCTATCACTCTGGAAAGGCGAAATTTCGAGTTGGAAAATATTATTCAGAAACTGAGTGGCACTGCGGAAAACGAGCGACAGAAAAACAGATTATTCGATTTCACAAAGTAGATTACACTTGTTGCACATACGTTCAACCGTATTATCCTGTCAGGTTCAAAAAACGTCATGTCGCCTTACAGTTTGCCTATCTTGGTTGGAACTATAGTGGTCTAGCAATGCAAAAAGGCTATCCGCTGACAATCATGCAGAAAATAATGGAGTCGCTGCAAAAGTGCCGGCTCGTTGAAGAGACGTAAGTCTCCATCTGTCTAGCTTTTTTGTCCGGATTCTAGTGACACTCCTCAGTTTGCTGTATGTGGACGAACGGACAAAGGTGTTAGTGCAGTAAATCAGGTATGCCCCCCCCCCGTTTATCATGAGTGCGTGTGCAGGTAGTGTCTATCGTGGTTCGATCGGTTTTAATGTCAGGAACTGGAATAATTGAGGATTCTGGTCCTTCGTGCAGTGAACGACGTGGTAATTACTCGCTATTTGATCAGTGCCATTTTCAGAAATCCCATCCAACGAGTTGGACTATGTTTTTCTACTGAATAAAGTTCTTCCTCCTGACATTCGTGTGATCGCTTGGTCTCCAGTTGAACCGGATTTTAATGCTCGGTACGGCCGGTTTTATTTGACCTCACACATCCTTCCCGATTTAGGTTCAGTTGCACACAGCGAGCCTATTGCTATTTCCTCCCACTGAGTGGATTGAACCTAGAGGTACTATCCTAACAATTCAAAACTCACGTATATCATAGGCTATGCAAGTTGCTGGTCACCGTCTTGAGGGTACACATGATTTTCGCAACTTCTGCTCAAGTCCAGTCGACGAGGGAATAGTCACTTTTGTCCGCCGAATCGATCGAGTACATATTCAGTCTTCCGGTCCGGAATGCTCAGCACAACCTCCGTGAGTGCATTTTGTTTCAGCTGTGATTATGTTTGATTGTGATTCATGAATTTAACCATTGCAGTTATTCATTTCGGTGTCTTGGAATTCGCGCACTAAAGAGCTATTCCTGATTATCATTGTCTTGAACAAGGGCATCACTCTACCTTTTTCAACCTCAAGGAAATCTACGAATAACGTTCGACTGGTAATCCAATAAAATGATTGTTGCTTCGGACTCACAGGTTACCCATTTAACCGGGTTTATTAAAACACCCATCCATTTGGAATGAGTTGATTTCTCCATAAATATACGAAAGTACGTTTTGGGAGAGAAACCATGCGGGGATGAATATTTCGGCGAGATGGGTTCAAACTGTTCGCCCCATGCCCCCGTTGGTCAAGAAAACGAGATGAGTCGATAAGGTGATAGTGTTCTGGTGTTAAGTTTGACATGAATCTTTGAAGCGTAGCCCCTCAATAACCTGCGTACCAAATCCTATTTAGACCGAGGTTCCCTCCTATTTTACCGCTAGTATTAAAACAGCTGTATTTGTCGGCATTCAAAGGATTGATTAACAAAAGCTTGAAAATGACAAATAAACATACAGAAAGAAGTAGTAATGATTCCTATGAAAATTCGGGTTGCCCACTTAGTTAAGGATTGTAAAAAATCGGATTTTCCTCTGTGTTACCCTAACTGGCCACTGGATTCTGTAAACAAGGCAAATGGCGACACCCTTATGTTTCATGGACTGTATCTTACGTCAGCATTACCGATCCGTCTGTACCATCAAATTATTTGCTTACCCAATGCAAACTCAATAGAATAACTATTGCATCTAGTCAGCTTTTCCACCGTAGCTCTTTTTATGCAGCAATTTTACAGCATAGCAAATATAACTCCTTGCCTCGGTGAGTGTTTGAACCACACTTGAATTAACTCCGGTCGTAAATACTTCGTCGTTTTCACCTCAATGGTGAGCAACAATCCACAACCTGCTGAGCCAAACCTGCCTTGGCTGTCCACCTTGATGCAATTTTGTTGACTCTATCCCCGGGGAAAACACTACCTATCCCGTGATTGCTTCCAATGTTTAGCTCTCCACAACCGGAAAGTAGAACACCGGTCAAGTGTAGCTGTAAGCATGCTCTGAATTTGCTGAATTTTTCACTATTTAATCGTCATGCCGCTCACAACTGTGATACAACCTTCCGACTTGTAGTATCCGACCGCAACAATGTTCATCTATTTACAACTGACAGTTCTTACTAAGACTTGAATAACTTATGGATAATGTCCTCGAATAAACGTTGATACCCGCTGGCAATGAACATTCGGGGTACTACCAACTAGCTAGGTTGCCACAGCATAATTCATTCCGACTGGTGTCAAGAAAAGCCTAACCTTCTGAAAATTCTCACGGCATGAACCAGAAATGGATTGACACCAGTCGCCACCATTTGAACATGTCATCGTTTTCTCGATGGTACTGGATACGTGGGAGTCAGAGTAAAAGTACAGAGCACGATGAACTGATTTCTAGCAAGTCCTCCATCGCCGCCCACGTAACTACCATTACGGATTAATGTCTAGACAGTGAGAAACTCCATAAATAACACACGCTTTCCTTACGTGACCACGACCGCGTTTTGGCTACGATACCCATAAAGGCTCGCACTGTTTTCCAACTCTTTTTACTGGAATCGTTGGGATACACATCGCAAGACCAGGTTCAGTGATATCTTGGCAAGACATAACTGGGTAGGTGCTGTGCTAGACCCGGCCCAACAGAAGACGTTTGGGGCTACCAGTCGGAAGCGATTCACCTGAAGTACCAACGGTTTAATTTGAGGTCGAAAAGACCTATTTTCTCACATTGTGTATTGAGTTCAATAAAATATTTATTCTGGAAAAAATAACGTTGAGGTGAGGTTTGTATCTAGTGTAAAATATCAGTAAACTTTTCATGGCACACCTCGTCATCTGACAGTACCGAGTGTTTTGAATTTAAGCACCTCAAACGTGGGAATCGCATTCTGAGGGTTTAAGATCTATCTAACCAGGCACTGACTCCCCAATAAACATCAATCTTCACACTACCTACTATTGCACACTTTTTACATTACGTATCTGAAGTCTCCAGTTGCGAATCCTTAGAGAAATCTAATGTTTTCTCTTAGACAACCTGTCAGTACTGACTGCGTTCAATAATGAACTGATCGCATGACCTTGAAAATAGTCGTACTGCAATAGTTTTAGCACATAGCTCGCTGCACAAACATCAGTACTGTGTACATTGACTCGTGTTTCATGTCCATAGACGGATGGAACGTGATGGAAGAACTGAAACTACCACCAATTCTTCTGGATCACAAGATTGCTTGTTCGGATAACCTGAATTCGGTAGCTTTTACAGATTGATGGACGGAGTCAGGCTATAAGCGGCATCACGTGACATGTGGAGGATATCCCATCAAAACGAGACAACCCAATTATTGTCTTAATCCTGGAAAAGGACTAACACTCAGGTTGCAATGTGACTTTAAACGAAACCGATTGGTAAAATGTGTTTCCTTTCGGTTTTGAATGCATAGGTCGGATCATTATTGCTAAAGCAGTTCCACATATCTATTGGGGTCTTAGGGTTTCCAGTAGTGGTAACATCTCTGACTCAGTAACCGACAATATTCTCACTGAGCGGTTTACTTCCAAACCAGTAACCCAATTCTCGTTTGTGATCCCACGAAGTTGCTCACTTGTGGCAGCGACCACACCTCGAGTAACCACTGCCTGGTAGATGGGCCAGAACGGGTGAGGGTAGCCGGAATACGATGAGTTGTAGGTTCATTCGTAAATGTGAATCACTTGCGGCGGACTAGACGAACCAGTTCGTATTCTTTTGGTCCAACAACTAAGCAAGTTGTTTGAATCCGAATGCGTTAACGGGTAACAAAATCGACGTCCTTTTAGGGCACAATAACATGTGCACAGGGAAGAGATGCATCCCTTCGAACAAAAAGCTGATATCCCGAACTCCCATGATAATTCATCAGGCTGACTCCTCCGTTCTCAGGAGATAATCGAGGTCACTTGATTTCAGTAGTCTATAATGGGTAAACGATAAACTGGGATTAATTCAAATTTTCTTGTTTTAACCCGTGCGAATTCACATACACCAAGGCCAATGTAGATGAAATAACTGTCCACTGCGCTATGTTGGCCATTGCGCAACTTTGTCACTAAGCGAACTATACGTGGGTTTAGGGAGCAAAGAGCAATGTTCTGTCCCTTGAGCTGTTTTTGTGAAACTGTCTTCTTGAAAGTAGAGTATACTTTGGCCTTGTATGCCACAACCTATGTCAAAAACGCAGTGATTCACGGTGTACCTTCTACACCCGGCCACTAAAGTATTGCTTCTTTAATTAAAAAAGCTTGCCATTTGTTTGTACCATTTTGCGAATTTGAACAGATGGAAAATGCGAAAACCAGAATACAAAAGTTTGTCAAATTTTCTTTTGTTTACCGGAAAACCATTGCGACACAAGTCTTACTCTTCTTTAGACTATAATTCCCGGATTTCGAGACCATTCGGAATGACCTTAGCTTATCTTTCACTGATTTGTAGTCCCTAATTTGTTTACCTTACCACTGTGGATCTGAATCTGTTGCACCGTGTGGCTGTCTACCAAAGTGCTAAAATGGATCTCTTGAAAAGCATCCATTCAGTGTTTCTCGGTACCATTAGGCCTTTTCTACTCCACCATGGCTGATAATTACTCGCCCTGGTCCAACTTGAGACCCCCGTGTCCTTACCCCAAACTGGTTATCAAACAATGTGAGGGTATGGTTACTACTATCACGTGACTTACTCCAGTCCGTTGACCACTACTGACTGGATCAGTCTAGTAGCTCGTTGCCGGGTCGGATGACCAGCGCATCTAGTTTGCAATCCCTGTGGGTGTGTCAAGTTCCTACGGTTATATTTCGATGCTTTTTTTGTTAGCACAAATTGTGCTTTGAATAAAAATCAAATTCGTCACCTGTTTTTTTTGCTGCCCTGATCCCTCAAAAAGGAGAAATGTTGATATAAACGGTTACGGGAATTATCCAATAGCCTAAATCATATGGAGGTGCACAGTTTTTTCACAATGGCCCATGAGAGTATCAGTTTAAGTTTTTACAACTATCAACCATGCACTTGTGTGTGTCGATTTTGGTTGCTGTCTTATGACTGCCCGTTTGGATGAAGGAATAACGAGAAGATTGGAATGTCCGAATCAGTGCCAGAGTGAACTGGGGGATTCATAAAGACTAAGGTCCCGAAGAAAGCGAAAAGTATCACTCAGCCGTAT